GGGAAACGCACATTCAGGTTTTGTAGTGCCCAGGAAGTTGTTATACAGAGTACCAGCCCAGCCTTCGAGCACGGGCCACTGCTGCTTTTTAAACTTGGCCCTGAAATGGATTTATTGTGCATCCTTGGGCAAACCTTTCCTCCTCCCCACCAAGCAAAGAGAATGTGCTTACCTGTCTAAGCTAGGAGCCAGCATGGATACCCATGGAAATGGCTAGGAAAGAGACTGAAAAAACCCAACCAAACCAAGAAAAACAAACACCATGGGATAGAATATAGCATGTAAGAGTTTGGGAGAACTGGGAGCAACTGGTTGTCCGTCCTCCTTCACCGGCAGTGGGGAAGGCAGGGTCTTTGGAAAGTAGAGGAGAGCAGAAGGAGACTGTTGGGCAATAGGAAGCTCTGTCAATAATGCGTGCAGCACTCAGATCTGCACGAGGGGGAACAGCCCCTTCAATCACTGTCTCTTCTTGCTCTTGATAGTTCATCCACGGCTGGCTGATCCTGTCGTCTTTGATGCTGCTCTTCCTCTTTACCTACATATATCTTGGGTAAGTGGGAATGGTGCAGGTAACCTGGCAGTTCAGGGCTCCTTCACCTCTTTGCAGAAAATCCCCACCTTCAACAAGGAAGAGAATGTGTCCCCTTCTCCTAACAGATGTTTTAAAAATCATTAGAATGAGAGAGCTTTACTTTTTTAAAAAATGGAAAATGAGGTCTCTAATAGGCAATGATTTTACAGTGTCTACTCTACAAAAATCACTGGGAAGTGATACCGCGAGCAAGGAATGAACAGGCTGAACCTTGTGGTACAGAGGCCCTGAATTACACATTGAGAAGCAAGTGGAGAGGAACTTTATATGCCGAGTTGGTTCTCTGATTTGTCTTGCCTTCTTCTCGGACTACATTGTATCAAGCTTATTCCCATTTGCTCACAGCTCAGGTAGAATCAAGCTTTCAACTTGCTGGTGACGCTCGTTAAAACTTTTCATCTTTAACTGCAAATGTCATGCATCTGGTGGGATGACTCTTACAGGACTTCTTTGCTACAGACAAGTCACGTAGCTGTACGTCTAGGTTCAGTTAAGACTTGAAATCCTGCCTGCTCAAAGCCTTGGAATCATTGTTGACCTCAGGACTGGGGCAGTGTGGTGCCTGTCGGCGCACACAGCATGTCCATCTCCAGCAGGAGGAACAGAGCGCCAAGAGCAGCAACTGGCCGCAAGGCAGGTTCCCCCTTCGTGATGAGAGCTGCTTCTATCCTGCCTTCTCCTGGTGTAGTAGGAGGCTTGTTTAACTACAACTAGTATGATGCTTTGCATGTCAGTTGCTTTTATTGCTTAACTAACTTTTCTTGTTGTATTCCAGTGAAGTGTTGAAGACATACAATGTGGCCATGGATTACCCTACTCTGTTCTTGGTCATCTGGAATTTTGGAGCTGTTGGAATGATTTGCATCCACTGGAAAGGCCCCTTGCAGCTCCAGCAAGCGTATCTCATTATGATCAGTGCTCTGATGGCACTGGTTTTCATTAAATACCTACCTGAGTGGTCAGCATGGGTGATTCTAGGTGCAATCTCCATCTATGGTAAGTCTGGGTTGTGACTCTCAAGGTGTGGCTCATGAGGAGGTTACTCTGAGGCAAGGACTGTGCATGTCATTCAAAAAACACCTTTATGGTGCTAACAGCTTTAGAAAGAGACAGATGGGCAACTAAGTTGACTTGCTGACTTGTTCATGTAGGTACTGTACTCCTATCCTACCACATCCTTCAAAGTGGAACACCAAGGCAGCAAAGTACTGAACCACATCTAACTGTGTTGTAGGGGTGGCTGGATTTTTATCAGTAGCAACCTGATAGTCTTGCATGTTTTGTTTATGGTTATTGAGAGATCGTGGATTTTGGTATGAGTTACAAGTTTCAAGAGAACCTGCAGAACAAGAGGCAGCCGGGAGGTAACATTCAGATTGGTGAGGAGCTCTGACAGAGGAGAGGGGCTAGCCAAAGAGGAACTGGACCAAAGGCCTTCATTCATGTGAAACAGAGTCAGTGTACGTAGCGATGGATTGTGGAACGTGAACAAAGTACCCCCAGTCCTCCTCTTGTTAAATTTAACACCTCAATGTAATGCTGCCATCTACTTTCAAAGAAATAACATAGTGTTCTCAAGAGGCTTTTTATAAGATTAGCACAATGAAAACTCTTGTTATTACATTAAGGCTTGGGGAGAGTATTTTAAGTGAACAACACCTTCAGGGACTAGAACAGCTAGAGTTATGCAAAGTGGCAGAAACTGCCATTCAGGAAATCATCCAATTAATATTGATAGCGGTAATTTTGAGGGGAGAATAGCTTTTTAAAGATAAAGAATGTAAAATAATGCTTGATAGTTTGAGATGAGATTGTCTGGCCCTGTTCTCTTTGCAGATCTGATGGCTGTTCTCTGTCCCAAGGGGCCGCTGAGAATGCTGGTAGAAACTGCACAGGAGAGAAATGAGCCCATTTTTCCTGCATTAATATATTCCTGTGAGTAAGATTAGAATGTTAATGTTTTTAGCCAGATTAAACTCGCAGCCTATTTCTGTGTCAGACCAAAGAGCATTATTTTAGTTATTTCCTTGCCCTAAGATTGGTGCACATTTATGTTCTGGAACAGACCGTTTGTAGAAGGCCTCAGTTATCAGTTACAACGGTGCCAACTCTAATTAGCCAAAGGGAGCCCACATATGCCTTGTGAAGCTGAAATGTTCAAAAGTAGGTTTATTCTTTCACGAATACAGTGCAGAACATACCCCTTTGTTCTGCATATAAAAACCTATATTAGATAGACAGTAGCATTTGCAAAGTTCTGTGATTAGATGATGCTCGCTCAATACACTTACTCCTTGTGTGTATGCTTTATAGACACACTTTAAGCATGTGATGAGGTTCCATTCTTCCTGTAGCCCCCTCTTGCTCTGTGCACTGTACAGATGGCAGTGCTTAGAATACATTTGCTTTATTGTTTGTTGTGTGGCTGTTTGCTTTGTAAAGGGCTCTACTCAAGTATTGCTCTGCAAACAAAATCAGTCTCTTAACTGGCTTTCTTGGACTGTTTTAACTATGATGGTGTCTAGTGCCCTTATCCACAAAAGTATGTATGTGCTTAAGATTAAGATGGTTGGAAGGCAGGCGACTCAACACTCCTGGGACCTGGGCTCAAGCGCTTCATGGACCTCAGTGCCTTTTTCATTACATCGCTTGTAAGATGAATGGGTATTTCCAAATGTTGGGTGTGAAGTTGAGGATGCCTACAACCTGATGGATCTTTTTTTCCAAGTATTTAATGTTACATAAATGCTTTTACATGTTCCAAGCAGAGCTTCTGTTGGCTTCAGCTGATCTCCCTTTTACTGGAGATTCTGTTATGCTGATCTGAGACCATCTAGGTGAAGTCTCTCACATGTTTTAGTTAACAAATAAGAAGTTCTCTAAAGGAGAATGCAATTCAACAAATAATAAATACTGAACAGAAAGTTCCTGTGCAGAATGTCAGTGTCTCCATTGCAAGACCACATTCTGTGGTTCCCTCTAGATGCAAAAACATCACCTTGGCTGAGCTTGTAGTGGAAAAGCAGGCACTGTGTTTGCCTTGGCTTATTTTATTTAGTTTAGCATCTATAAAAACAGGAAGACTGACACATACTTAAATAAGCAGTTGATTTGAGTTCCCTTCCACTGATTTCAGAATGGTTTGTGTTCCTTTTTAATTTAGGGATTGATCTCAAGAATAAACCCCCAAACATCCTTCAGTTGTTCTTGGAACCAAAACTGAAATAGCCAATATTTTGACAGGAAGGAACCAAAACAAACAGGCAGAGAGAAAACTGGCACACTGACAACTCCCGCATATCCCTCACTTGTATGCTTTACCTTTAGCAGAACAGGAGGAGTAAGCTGTGTTAAGTTAACCTCTGGTTACCTTTTGTACTACCATCATTTCCTGGGCAATTGTTTGCTTTGAAGAGAAGAGCCAGAAACCAGGTAGAAAACAAAGGAGATGAGGACCCTAGTTCTGGATGTTTGCTTTCTTTAGCCTACAGAGAAGAATATACTGGCTCTTAGCTATTTGTGCTCTGGGACTTTCTTAAAAACTGAATAGCTGCACTGCCTTAATTTTCTCCCACCTTGCCTCCAAAGTGCCTGGGGAAACCAACTAAGAGTGAGCGTTTCAAAAGCATTTACAGGGGCAAGGGCTTGTATTTTTAGGGAAAGCTAAATACTTAGCTCCTCTGAGCTATAGTGACCGATGTTTTATGCAGCTGATCACTTTCTCTGTTTCTTTTAGCTGCCATGATGTGGACAGTTGCGATGGCAAAGTCAGACACAGCAGCGAGAGGACCAAGTCAGCAGACATGGGATGCAGGTTTGCTTGCATGTCGCTCTTCTATACAGAGCACTGTCCCACGGAAATAATGTGTGTGTTTGAGGCTGCAGGTAAATGTAAGCCCCTGAATCCTGATGGATGCATTTTTTTCAGTATTGTCACATTAGTTGCAGAACTCGGTGGTGTTCTGAAACCTGCTGTTAGGACTGGCAGGAAAATGACCAGACGATATAGGAAGCTTCAGTATTCAGGCTGCCTTTATTTAAAAACCAAACCAAACAAACAAACAAAAAACCAAACAAAAGTGTTGTCCAACACACATCTTCAGATGTACTGAAGTCAAAGCCAAAAGTGGACTAGTAGGGGTTTGTATTTTCACTAGCTGGGGATGGTAAATTACAAAATAGACCCATAAATATAATGGTGATGAGCTGGTGAACTTAAATGTGTTGCATTCAGGCCACTGCTACGGAACTGACATGCTTTTACCTAGCTGTAAATGCAATATGGCTTACCCTGCCAAAGAAAATGAACGTCTTTACATTTACCCTTGGGTAAAGGCTTATGTTTCGGCAGTTACCCAACAGCAGCAAATGTGTTGCAAGTTTACATTCTGGTTGGTCCTGTGGTAATTTTTGTGCCTTTGCTTTTATCTTCTTGAAATGCAAGTTAAACTGCAGTTTTGAAGGTGACTGAATAAAATCTGACTTGTGGTGTTAGAAGGATTTCCCATCTGGTCCTGTTGCACTTCAGAGATGACAGTACCTTGTTATGTTAAAGGAATAAATGTATGATAAGGCTTGATAACTGAACATGCTGCTTATTTCAGAATAAAGCAGCTGACATACTAACAAACCATAGAGATACAATCCTGCTTTGAAACTGGGCACAAAGCAGCTGCGGACTACATGCTGAGGTGCACAGAATGCCACTGCGGAAGCTTTGTGTGTCCCAGATCACAGTCCGCTTGCATCTGCAGCGGCAGCATTCCGTCAGACTGACGTAGACTGGAAAGTTTGTATGAGTGCTTCTGAAAAATGCTACATGTGAACACTCGGCCCCAATGTCAGTGTGATTCAGGGTAGAACTTTTCTCATAAATGGCAGTTCTCTTACTCATCCATTTTTCTCATACTACCAATTAAGGAATAGCCAAGCACCTCCACCCCAAAGATATAACAATGTGGGAGGGCATATTAAGTTTACTTGGTTTTACTTGTCATTCTAGCCTGTGTAGAGCAACGCTTAGTTCTGCCTATGTACTCGCTTGTTAAAGCCAAAAAACTCCTGGGTGGCTGTCAAAGAAGCTGTGAACGTGTACCCTTCCAGCTGTTTCAAATAACACACATTTTCATCAAGGCCACTAAATCTGTCTGCTTGAGCTGGTCCTGATGATCACAACTCCAAGAAACAAAGGGCTTGCCCATTCTAGACAAGCTGTACAGAAGTGTGGATTTCATGCATTAAAACAAGTTATGAATGTTGCTACCTCTTTCGTTTTTTTTTTTTTTTTGTCCATTCTTCTTGGCCTGTTTTTGTGTAACCAAGCTGAGGATGGGAGAGAGAACCACAGGACCACTTCACATGCAGACTCTCAGATGTCGGAGACGAGGAGTCCTGTTCCAACCCGCCCCATCACTTCTTTCGAGGAGCTCGAGGAGGAGGAAAGTAAGGGAAGCTTCATACCTTGTTTTCAGTGTAGTCAGAGCCTAACATTTTTAGTCATTGTAGTTAACACTGTTACCCAGTTTGGCCTAATCGTGGTTAAAATTTGGAGAGTTGTGACTTGTTGAGCAACGAAGACCTTAAGTCTGCCTCTGTATTACTTCTTGCTGCTGCTGTATCTGAGATTGTGGTTCCAGTGACATCTCTTGGCTATGCAGCCCATTTAAGCAGAAATGTTCACCTGCTCCCCAGAGGACAAGAACTTGTTCAGGAGGAAGCTGAACAGGAGAAGCAGAAGTAACGCTTGTTTTCTTTTTCCACTTCTCTCAGGGGGTGTGAAGCTGGGCCTTGGAGACTTCATATTTTACAGTGTGCTTGTTGGGAAAGCAGCTGCCACAGCTAGTGGAGACTGGAATACTACGCTGGCCTGCTTTGTAGCCATTCTTATAGTAAGTGAGCAAGCTTTTTAAAACTCTGTTACAGCCTGTTTAGCACAGCGGTGTTGCCAGAAGTACCAGCAGCTGAACACTGCTAAATCTCTACAGGTAACACGCTGGGTGTTTAGAAGGAACCACCAGTGGATTTCCCAGCCCAGTGCTTTGTCTGTAAAGACACAGCCCCTGGCAGAAGCCAGTTGATACGGCCTGGGAGAGAGGACTGCTTGGGGCAGAGCCAAGTGTGGAGATGTAGGGGGGAAACAGCCCCAGGGAAAGGAATTGTTAATGTGTTTGCTTCAGTGTTAAGAGATTGGGGACTTCTCTCAGCCGCAAGAGTCAATGTTACGAACTCCACATTGATTGGGTTAAGTCCCTGTTGCTAAGGAGAACGGCTAAATAAGAGGATCTAGACCTATCTTGTTGTTGTGTTCACGCTGGAAAAAACAGGAAGGAAGGAAACTTGAAAATCCATGGGAATTATCAGTAAAAGCAGATGACAATCATACTGTAACTGCTGAAGGACTTGGTCCTGCCAGGTCTGATGACCACACACTGCTGCGCTTTCACCTAGGTAGAATATAATTACTAGGAACTTGCTGTTTATATGAACATCATTATGGACACTAACCGGAAGGGCAACAGCAAGATTTTCAGAAGGTAAAAGAGAAAATGAATTATTGTGTCCTCCTTGGGCCTCTATTTCCTCACTTAGATCCCAAAGATAGTGAAAGACAGTGACTTCCACTTGTGAAGATCATGGATCAAAAAGCATGAGAACTAGAAATGAGCTAACTTAAATAAAGTGTGTTGAGTGTAGCTTTACTACCTCACAGGTCAGAGAAGCCCATAGGATCACCTAGCCCCATATCCTGGGATCTAGCACAGGATCCCTTCGCTGCGGGAAGTGCTCTGTCTTGTCTGTCTGTGAGGCGAAATGCCCCATTCTGTTTCTTTTATGGGGGTAAATTTTTTGGAGCCTAGTGTCTCTGAAGCCTTGTCATCATGGAGGAAGAAAAAAGGGCTCAAATGAGAGAAGAAATCCATACCTAAATACACTTAGTTATACTGTCTACCCAAAACGTACAAAAGCTTTCATACATGCTCAAAAAAACCAGATCTTGGCCTGTTATCCAGCTAAAACCAGAATTCAACCATCACAGTAAGCAATCCAGTCAAAAGAACAGCAGTGGATATTTTTTGTATGTTTTTTTTTTTTTTTACCCCAAGAGTCCTTGAAAACTGGGAAAGTGTCAGAAGTACGTGCCACTGTGTAGTAGTCCTTCAGTGAAACTCCTTATCTGTGCAGTTCACCAGGATTTAAGTGCTTTTATCTGCTGCATCAGTACTTTCTACATACTGGCGTAGAACAAAGTGTAAAATAATCTGTAAATAAATTAACCTCTCGGGGTCGGCTGTATGTCAGCAGCAGCTGTTTATACCACTTTCTCAGCAGAGAGCTGTGCTGAAGATTGCTGAAGAAAATACCTGGCCAGCTTGTATGAAAGATGAAGGTGTGGGCAAATGTACCTCACACCACTGGTAGCTCAGCAGGCTTTAATTGCCGTACAGTGTATATAGCTTATTATGTGAATATTAGTTTGTTGATGACAGATATGTTTCTGGGCTTCTTACTGTATCTCCTTATGTTTTTTATTATCTTCTCTCTGGCAGGGTTTATGCTTAACTCTTTTATTACTGGCTGTTTTTAAGAAAGCACTGCCTGCTCTTCCCATCTCCATCACCTTTGGGTTGGTCTTTTACTTCTCGACAGACAACCTCGTGCGACCGTTCATGGACACCCTGGCCTCCCACCAGCTGTACATTTAGAAGAAGTGGGAGTTAGAGGATTCTTTTTAAAGCTTTGCTGTGAAGTATGGTACACTGTTTGAAATAAGTCATAAAGTTTTACACTTAGTGCCATATATTTGTAAGGAAAACACTAACTCTGTGACATGACGTGTACTAAAAATCTAATAGTTACATATGGAACTGAGATTTTTCAGAGTACTCTGGGACTACAGTGAAAAGCCTGGCTCATTGCTGGATGTCAGAGCATTACTTTGATGTTATTTGATACGTGCGCTGGCTGTTGTGAGCGTGGAAGCCTGTATGTAACATGGGGCACTGGAGAGGCGAAGGGTCTGATCTGTGCTTCCAGAGCTAAGGTGTTTTAGCCCTGGAACTGCAGTCAAGTTTAACTGTACTTTAGAATTGCTAACGCTTCACACTTCTGAAGTGTTGTACAAACGTGCGGTGCAAGTGAGTCGTACTTGTAATCCGAAAAGCCTAGCAGTTGGCACGCATGGAACAGAGCGGTGCGTTGCGCCTGGTTGCCAGCGTTCCAGAAGTAAGGCTAAACTTGATAAGCTGGCCTCTGTGCAGGCAACTTCTGTTGAAATTGCCCCAAATGCCTATTTATTCAGACCTAAGTGAGACCTAGTGAGCCACGATGGATCTAGACATGATGTCAGTGGTGGGACGTTTAAACATCAGACTTCTGGTTCTGAGCGCGTCCACCACTGCAGCGAACAGCTGAAGGCAGGGCTGCCCGTTCCAGTGCATCGGATCCTCGGCGTGGGAAGACAGATACTTTTTCCTGTCTCCTCCCAGCATTTTATCTTTTTGGAAATCTTTTTCTGGGTCCATACTACAATCCTTAACTTACCATAAGGTGGAAATTACTGCACAACTCCAGTAAATCAGTTGACCTGTAACTTCGTGTGTGTATTTCTGGTCTCATTTCTGTGCAACGTTGAAACCACTCCAAAGGAGCATTTGCCTTCCCTTTGTGAAGAGGTCCTCTTACACCAAGTGAGGCTTGGTTTATCTAGTTTTTGGTACTGTTTAAAGATTTTCTTTTTTTTTTTCTAAATTACAAATCTTAAAACAGCTATTCAATGTCAAAGGGACTCTTTTGGAAATACCTTGCCATAGTTTGTATCAAAATATGGGGGTGCAAACTTTAATCTGCTGTTACATTACTCTACGTGAGGCATCATTAATACTGGGAATATTTAGACAGCCTCAAGTGAGTTAATTAAAAAAAAAATTTAAAAAATCACAGTGCTTGTTGCCAGTAACAAATACAGGTCTGACTGAACCTTACTGTTTTCTCCACCTTTTAAAATAATTTTATTTCTACTCTGAGAGTCAGTTTTTTAGAAATAGCCAAGTTCTGGGATATTTTTCTTTTCTTTTTACTTGAGTGTTTATTACGCAAACAAGCTCTGTTTTCTTTGACAACTGATCAATGTCAGTGTTTCAAAATGTAACATTATGCAAGGTTTTGTGAATAATGCAATGTCATTGAGAGAGGCAGAATTTAATCTCTGAAAATACTTTTTAGATACAGTTTTGAACTATGCATTTTTAAGGTAGTGCTTTTTCCAACAGACTTGGTCAAGCTAATCTACTGTGATATTTAACAAGGACATCACACACAGGTGATTCACACAAATTTTTAAAAAGCGGGTAAGGGTTTTTACGAGTTGTGTGTGTGTGTCTCAGCTTGGACAAGTTAAGTAATTCTTGCTCTTTGTTCAGTATTCTGTCCTCATTTGTTACTATTAGCAATGTTTGGACGTAACAGCTGCAGACAGACTTAATTATTACTAAAAGGTATTTCCTTTGGAAATGTAAATCACTAGAGCTCTGCTGATTTTTAAGGTTTATGTGAGAGTTGGTTTTGCTTTTTGTTAGTTTGTTGTTGTTTTGGGGGTTGTTTTTTTTTTTTTAAACTAAAACAGTTATGGGGCCAAATCAGAATACAATCACTTGCAAAAATGATTTTACTTTTTGCATTGCATGGTGTAGAGAGGATGTGAAATATTTATATTTACTAGAAGAAAAATCCTTCATGGCTTAACAGGGTTGTAGCATATTGTTAGAAACAATTTATTTCTATGAAAGTGGAGTTGATATTTGAAGGAAATTGGGGGAGTACATTCAAATATTGAAGGATTAATACTGGAGATGGTGGTTTTCTGCAGATTTGTGCTCGCCAAAGACTGGCGTTCCACTAAGCAATTCTGCATCACTTCTAAAAATTGTAATTTAAAAGGTAACTCAGCAACAGATTCTGTCAGTGCAAGAAAATGTATTGTCCTGGTGAGTGATACGAGTATATCATGTATATACTGGAGTGGTTTTAATTGTGTAAAATTTCAGATGTATTTACTACAAATATATATATATTTACTGTGTGTGTTTATGTGTATATACACACAAGATTTTAAATGATACCGAGTGATTTCTCATCTCACTGGACACTTTCACCTGTGCGTTAAAGTGAAGTTTTGTTTGTGATGTTAACATTGTGCAGCATGGCCTAAGATGTGAAAATGGATAGAGCAGGCTTTACTCTACTCCCTAGTTGGCTACTACATAAGACCTGGCAGCTTGAGTGAGCAAAGCATTTGTTTGTCTACTGTGTTTATTCACTAATTTCACCTTGCTGCATGCACTCCTGAACTGCAGTCTCTTTCACCCTGAAGAAATCCTAATACTCCCACTGCTATGCATCCCCAAAAAAGTACAGCTGTCAGGTAGGCTGGGGTGACACCCGTCTCAATGCAGGTGTCACTCAACAGCCTGAAGTCTGACAGTAGGTGCCACGTATTGGCATTTTCCTATACAATCCTTGTCACACCCACTCCTCCTCTCCCATCTAAAATGAGTGTCTCATTGCATCTAGTCACAAATGTGGCTTGGGCACCCACCAATCTCTAATATGTAAGGCTGAAGCTAAGTCCATGAACAAAAATGTAGTGATAAGCCTGCCTAATGTAAATCCAGGCCTTTCATTGGTGGGAGATATGTGGCCTCCTTCCAGCATTTAGTGCTTTTGTTAGAAGCATGTGCAATTCAACCAGCTTGGCGTTGTCACCTTCTGACCACACAGTTGCTACTTGTGCTTATGGCTCTGTTTCTTCTTGCCACTTCGTTGTTGCTTTTAATTTTGATTGATTCAGGGTTGTTTTGTTCAAAGTGTCTCCTGTGCATCAAAGGCTGGAGATGCATTCTGCCCACAGAAGTGCACAGGAAGCAGCACAGTCATAAAGTGCAAGAAACAGGAGACTTCTTGCAGAACCCTGCAGTGCTTCCACAGCAGCTCTCATCGGGTACTCGAGGTCACATTCATAAAACCTAACTTCAGGCTGTTTATGGAAGTCCCTCAGAAAGGAGTCGGTCTGTGCGAGAAATCTCATCTCCTTCTGGTTCGCAGGGAGGAAAGGACACATTTGCAATGTGAGGTGTCCCCACAAGAGCTTTGTGAACACTGCTGAGGCTGGGCCAACGTGGGTTAGTAGATACAGCAAGGTCACACAGCACATGCCTACCACAGTCAGGAAAAGGAGCAGCTGTCTGCTCTCCCATACCTTCTTTGCACCAGTTACTAGTGAATTCTCCTCTGTGGGGCAATCGGATGAAGTTAGATGGACCATCTCTCTTTGAGTAAATGGCACTTTATGGCGGGACTCTGGTGAAGAATAGCTCAAGGCCTGCTGTCCTTGCAAAACAAAGTATTTGGATGTCTCCCTGCTACTCTCAAACCACTAAAATTCTCTGCTTTGTTGTTGCCTTCCTAGGTACTGCCAGTTAATCACACAGTGAGTTTGCCTTCCTCTTTCTTGTAACTCAAATTGCACTTTGGTTTAAATTGAATATACAATTATTCTTCTTTATTGTTTCCCTCGGTCCCTGGTCTCCGTGTTTCTGCATTAGGGATGCTCCTTGGCAGCCACGGGAGGGCAGTAAGTCTGTACGGAGACGCACCAGCCATTTTCAACTGCTCTGCCGTGTGCCCCTTGTTTTTCAGTGAGGCTGAAGGCCCTGGAGTCTCCCTCATGGCAGGATGAAAGCAGGCACCCCACACCCCAGCACAGCTGCAGTTCTGGCACAGCAAGGGAAGGGCTTTGAGTGAGGGTGAGCTCACACTGTACCAGAATCCATTCAAAACCAGCTGGTTTCAGTGTGATGCCGTGTTCAGCACTGCAGCGCTGGGTGAGGTGCTGCTGTTGCACTGCACACTCCATTTTGTTTGGGTCACCCCCTATTTTTTTTTTTTTATTTATTTTTTTAAAGCATTCAGTCCTAGTTTCACTCCTACAAACCCCAAGCATGAATCAGGGTCTCCTCCATACACTGCTAAATCAGATTTTCTTTGGAGCATCTTCAAGAAGCAAAGGAATACTTACTGCTGTGTCATTGCTCCTCTCACGTGCAGTCTCCTGTTCCGTCCTAGCAGGTCTCACTAATCTGAGAGGGAAAAAAGAGCACACTGCTGTCATTCCAGCTCTTGGCACTGGGGAATGTAGGCTCTAGCTAGATCATGTTGTCTGTGCCCTCAGGAGGACCAGGGGCTGTCTAGTTTTCTTGAACTCGGTTGTTTTATAAGAAAGCAGCCTGGACAAATATGGTACCTTTGCCAGAACTCCTACCCCACTATTCCTACGCACCCTAACACACTGTTGCATCCCTCATTGAATTTACCTTTGCTTCCCCTGCCCCCAGTAAGGTAAAGTGATGGGAGCTGTCCCCTTTCTACAAATTAGAAACAATAAGAGAGTAAGTGCTGGGTTTAAGCCTGGTTACACACAAAAGATCAGCCCACATCAGATCAGGGCATCAAGCACAATCACACAAGTCACTATCATTTCTTTTAAATCTTCTCTTGGCTGCAGGTTTGCTATCGCCCATCTTTTCCCACTCTAAATACAAGACATTTGCCCTGAGTGCTCAAGGAGTTAAGTGAATATGAACTGTTATCTTCTCCTTTGTGCAACACATTTGTTTGACAGGTGCCCAAGAGTACAATTTGGGAGGTGTCAGTGCGCAGCA